ATTATTTTGGGGCGCGTGGAGCATCTTACCTGATTTCCAGCTCTCTCTCCCTAACCCTAACCAGAGGAAATGGCGGGGACCAGCTGTGCATGCATTTAAATATTTTCAGGGAGGACTTATTTTGGGGTGGGGTTATTTTAGCACATGAGCTCAAAAGCCCAATTGGGCTTATTAGAGCCTTGGTACTACAGTGGTTTAAAGCACCCTGTTATTAACACAGCTGCCTGCAATTTACTGCTGGTTCGAATCTCTCCAAGGCTCAAGGTTGACTCAGCCTTCCATCCTTTCTAAAGGTAGGTTAAATGAGGACCCAGTTTGTGGGGGCAATAAGCTGATTTTGTATAAATATACAAAAGGATGAAGGCTATTGCTTAGCGCATTGTAAGCCGCCCTGAGTCTCCGGAGAAGGGCGGCATATAAATCAATTTTTTTTTAAAAAAAATTATCAGGGGATGTCTTATTTTAGGGGAAACAGGGTACTGTATTGTCTGTCTGACTGCTTGCCACCACCACCTCTCTCTCTCTCTCCCTACCTATCACTTCATGGAAGAAGTTTGGCATAACTCTTTGCTAAAGAATGGGATGTGGAAGAGACTCTGGGAGACATGAAAATTGGGGCAGGGGACACCAAAGGCCCATGGGTTTCCTACCATGTTCTACTCTTAACACCAAACTAGGAGCTTGAAGACAGATGGGAAATTCTCACGACTTCTCAAGGAGGAAGAATCCTATGAACGGATACTCAATTCTTTTAAAGAGGCCAAACAGGTTCTTAATCCGGAAGCCAAGCCTTTAATGCCTCTCTGGCTAAATTCAACCTAATCTAAGGGCACCCGGTTGTAGTATAAGCAACACACTTCTTCGCAGAAGTGTGTTGACACATGAATGGTCAAGAAACTTGGCGAAATTGAAAATCAGAGGAGAAACATCACCATAGGAGTACTCATCTCAAAGGGTCTAAGCCCCAGAGCTCACTGTAACAGCATTGCCAAAAAGGCATTAAGAGTTGTTAACCTAATTTTGCGAAGCTTCTTCTCCGGTAACATCGAACTGCAAACTAGGGCATACAAAATCTTTGCCAGACCAGTTCTCGAATACAGCTTGTCTGCCTGGAATCCATACTGTATTTCGGACATTAATACAAATGGTCCAGAAGTATTTCACGAGAAGAGTCCTCCACTCCTCTGCTCACAATAGAATATCTTAGGCCCCCAGGCTTGAAATTTTGGGCTTGGATAACCTGGAACTAAGCGGTCTACAGTCTGATCTAAGTATAGTACACAAAATTGTCTGCCACAATGTCCTACCTATCAACGACTACTTCAGCTTCAACCGCAATAATCCACGGACAAGCAATAGATACAAACTCAAGGTAAACTGCTCTAAACTCAATTGCAGGAAATACAACTTCAGCAACAGAGCAGTCAATGCCTTGAATGCTGTACCCAACTCCTCCATTGTTACATCCTCAAATCCCCATAGCTTCAACCTTAAACTGTCCACCGTGGACCTCACCCCATTCCTAAGAGGTCCGTAAAAGGGACATGCATAAGCACACCAGCGTGCCTAGCGTCCAGCGGTGAATTCTACTTACCTTCGCTACCAGTTTGAGAACGGGAGCGCACGCCTCCTCTGCGTATGTGCAGAATCTTCTGCGCATACACAGATGGTAAAATATGGGACGTAATGACGTCCCGGCAGGTGGGCAGAGCCTCTCGCCGCCAGCGCTACCAGTTCGGTGAGCCGGATAGAACCGGGGGGGATTTCACCGATGCTACCATCCCTGTCCCACTGTCCCATTTATTTGTACTCATTCCCTGTGCTCATGCCCATGTTTATACTTACACCTGTTATCTCGTACATGTTTGACAAACTAAACAAAATAAAATAAAATAAAAACAATGGCCCAAAAACCCCAGATTGTCGCACTAGTCAACCAGAACAGGGGTGAAATGCTCCCGGTTCGGACCGGATCGCCCAGTCCGGTAGCGATGGCGGCGGGTGGTTCAGAGAATCGGTAGCAAAAATCCCTGCGCCCCCCTCCCATGCCCAGCTGAGCCACGAGATTATCAGAGGCTGTTTTTTTTTACTTTTAAAAGCATTTTTTCTACAACCTCTTCGGCAGAAAAAATGCTTTTAAAAGTTAAAAGAAAGCCTCTGATGATCGCGCAGCTCAACTGGGATCGTCAGAGACTTTTAAAAGCATTTTTTTCTGCAATCTCTTCCGCCGAAGAGGTTGTAGAAGAAAAAAATGCCTTTAAAAGCCTCTGGCGATCCCAGCTGAGTTGCCTGATCGTCAGAGGCTTTTAAAAGCATTTTTACCTCTTTGGCCGAAGAGATTGTAGAAAAAAAATGCCTTTAAAAGCCTCTGGCGATCCCAGCTGAGTTGCCTGATCATCAGAGGCTTTTAAAAGCATTTTTTTCTGCAACCTCTTTGGCCGAAGAGATTGTAGAAAAAAAAATGCCTTTAAAAGTCTCTGGCGATCCCAGCTGAGTTGCCTGATCGTCAGAGGCTTTTAAAAGCATTTTTTTATGCAACCTCTTCGGCCGAAGAGGTTGTAGGGAAAAAAATGCCTTTAAAAGCCTCTGGCAATCCCAGCTGAGTTGCCTGATCGTCAGAGGCTTTTAAAAGCATTTTTTTCTGCAACCTCTTCGGCCAAAGAGGTTGTAGAAGAAAAAAATGCCTTTAAAAGCCTCTGGTGAATCCCAGCTGAGTTGCCTGATCGTCAGAGGCTTTTAAAAGCATTTTTTTCTGCAACCTCTTAAGGTTGTAGAAAAAAATGCTTTTAAAAATAAAATTAAAAAGTTGGTCACGCCCACCCAGTCACATTAACCTCCCCACCAAGCCACGCCCACAGAACCGGTAGTAACACATTTTACATTTCACCACTGAACCAGAACCTGCATTTCTCTCCAAAACTTTTTTCCCCCTCTTCTTTTATTCTTAATACCCTCCGTGGAGGGAAAAAAATCTGCCCTCTGAACAGCACGATTCTGAGATATTCTGGTTGCTTTGAGACCAATTGGGAAGAAATACGAGCCTCTCGCCTTCCCACCCGTCCAAGTTTATTTTCCACTACGGGCTTTACGCTGTAATTATACCCATTAGCAAAATGCACGCTAAGATTAAGCGTGCTCAAAAAAAAAAAAATCCCTCCGAAATATCTGTTAACGGTTCTCTTTAATTGCACGTTAAGAGGTTTTTCTTTTTCTTTTCTTTTCTTTTTTTTTAAACACTGTAACGCAAATGATTCAGAAATGGAAGGTTTGGTTTGGATTTGCCTTGTTTGCAGAGAAAATCCCAAGCGGAGTGAAAAATGTTTGCCGAAGAAAATGTCACCCTTCTCTTTTAGGAAAGGGAGGGAGACTCCATTAAGAACAACATCAAAGTTAAGTGCTCTACTAAAAAAAGAGAAGGGAAATATGAGGATTTGGAGTGGAGTGGATTTGGAGAGTGAAACATCTGGAGAACATTGGGAATTCTGATACAATACAAGTTGCATCAAAATTTCCCCCACCAGATTTCTACGCTTAACAACTGTTGTTTAGTTTAGTTTATAGCTCATTGTATTTTTTTGGCTCGTCCGCCTTTCCTTTTCTCTATTTTGTTTTAACGGTAACAAACCCAAAGTCTGTGATGTAAGCAGTAATTATCAGCTCTGGGAACTGGTACCAGATTCCTGCCTCCAACCCCCCGAGACCTTTTTCAACTTGATAAAACTTGATATTGGTAGCGCTCACTTAATGATGGGGAAAAGTTCACAAACAACAAGAAGAAGGAGAACGTTGTATGAGTTTGGGCTATCAAGTGCAGAAGGGGTTGGGTGATTTTTTTTTTTCCAGCCAGGGTGGATAAAATCCATCTGCCATTTTAGACTAATGTTGCATTGACTTGCATTTGCAATGGTGAAAAAAAGGAAGGGTCTACATTTAGGCAAGAAAAACAAAATGCACAGGGACAGTATACGTGGGACCTTGCTCAATAGTAGTAACTGGGAGAGGGATCTTGGAGTCCTAGTGGACAACCATTTAAATAGGAGCCAGCCATGTGCAGCAGCTGCCAAAAAAGACAACACAGTTCTAGGCTGCATTAACAGAGGGATAGAATCAAGATGACGGGAAATGTTAATACCACTTTATGATGCCCTGGTAAGGCCACACTTGGAATCCTGCATCCAGTTTTGGTCACCACGATGTAAAAATGATGTGGAAACTCTAGAAGGAGTGCAGAGAAGAGCAACCAAGAAGATTAGGGGACTGGAGGCTAAAACATACGATGAATGGTTGCAGGAACTGGGTATGTCTAGTTTAATGAAAAGAAGGACTAGGGGAGACATGATACCACTCTTCCAATATCTCAGGGGCTGCCCCAAAGAAGAGGGAGTCAAGCTATTGGCCAGGGGGGATGGGAAACCGGCGAAATGGCACAGCAGCCAAAGACAGATGCACATTTCATGCTTATCTCTCTCAAGGCGATATCCCAGGGTTACCTACAGCAGCCGAAGGGGAGTGACCTCAACAACCCACCGTTGGCAAATGTGATTGATGACACACCTTGGGGGGAGGGGGAAAACAGGGTCATAATTGGAGCATAAATTACATAGGGTCAGAGCTGGCTTCAATTGGGAACCTGCTGACATGAAGCTCCTAATAAATAACTGGATTTCTTTTGAAGCTTGGCTCGAGACTCATGATTTAATTAAGGAAAGAGAAGTGGATGACCTCCAGCAAGGTGGACAGACTCAATAACAGTAGAGATGAGTATACCTTTAGAAGACCTGAAGGATCAAGTTAAGGATAGGTCATCATAGAAAAAAATCTATCTACATGGTCACTCAAAGAGTCCACAACACATCATTGGCACATCATCAACCACCCCAAAGAGACAGCACAATCACGAACTGCAACGTTCTCAAGAACTTCCAATATCCACATCCCCAACACCCTTCTCCTGTTTAATTTGGAACAAGATCTGCATAATAGACAAGGAAAAACTTTACCGGCCTACCGATCTGGCCCTTCTTCCCAGGAACTCCGGGGATTCCCTAAAAAACAAAGAGAGGGAAAAACATGAAAAACTGGAGAACGGTTGGACAGCCAGAAAGGAGAAACCAAAATCTTAAACAGAAAGGGGAAATCAAAACAGGGAACAACTTAGAAACATGGTGGGCCAGAAGGTGTTGTGGCCCACCAGCGGCCAGCAGAGCCAGACAGTGAGGAGGTTGGGGAGGAACGTGGGCCAGTCCTGGAGTCTGGGGAAGGCTCAGACGAGGGCTCTGAGTCGGAGGCAGAGATGGGGCCAGGGCCGTCTGACAGTTCTTTGCTGCCTCCGAAGTCTCCGGAGTCTGACATCAGAGAGGCAGAAGAACAGCGGGAGCCTGTTCCCAGTGTGCACATGTGCAGAGCTGCCAGGAGACAGGAATAATTAAGAAAACAGGGTCGACTTGGGAGTAAGGCTTGGAGATGATTGGCCCCTCCCATAAGACATAAAAGAGAAGCGAACGGGACATGAGCTTTTGCAGGAAGCAATTAGTTCATCTGGTCGGTAAATGCGCTGGAAAAGCTCTGTTTGACTCTGTGCTAAGTTTGGCCTTGCCCTGCGTGTGGCAATTAGTTCTCTGGCAGCGTTCCAAGGGAGATAAGGTGGGTGTTTGTAAAAACTCCCCTGATAGACTGTTTGAGAAGCCTTTCGGACTGGGAATGACAATAATTCACAGCCATTTGAATTAAAGAGGTTTGCTGGGACTAATTTTGTGCTGTTTGCTTTCTAAGGAAGCCTAGGTCAGAACAGAAAGTTAGCATGAGAGAACAAAGGAAGATGGAGAAGGGGTTCAATTCAGCCCTTAAACTTTTTCTGTCTTGAGTCTCAGTAAGACACCCCACACACAAACACACACACACACACAAGGTTTGTCCCCAGCCAGTTCCAGGAATTGGAGACAGCTTTTAGCTGGATGAATAATTAAGCTACTGATCTGGACCCAAGGGGGGGATCCAAGCCAACAATGCTCGCTGGAGAACTTCACTTTATAGTTCTGATTCGGTGACACAAAAGCCTTAAATTAGCATCTCCTGAGCATTAGCTCATTCCTCTTGTAATATATACACACAGTCGTGGGCTGTGGGATCTAGGATCTGCCAATAGCCCAGAGCAGAGAAGCTGGCTTAGCAGTGCAGAGCTGGGACCACGGACTCCCCAATGAAGCCTACAGAGATCCAAAGTCCAATCTTACTTGGCCGTGAAGTCCCCTTGATAATGATGAGTCTAGGGCTAGTTATCTCTGTCTCGGGGGAGTGTCTCGGGGTTGGGAAAGGGGTAGGTAGTTTTCAGACACATGGGGGCCTGGGCTGTAGGCCCTGGTCTGAAATCTCTTAAGGGAAGGAGGGAAGTCTAAAAACACACATTTGGTTCTAACTCTCTTTATCAAAGCTCCCAACTGTACAGGAAGAACTCAGTCGGTTTCCTGCTCTGGTTGGCCATCGGTAGACTTTCCCGGCCTCACTTTGACCCCTCTGGCTGCTCATGGTTCAGCCATGACCTCATTGTTTACAGATTAGAAAATAGGGAAAGCCAACGGAAATGAGAGGAAATTGTTTATTCTTCCACCATGGCTTCATAAGAGGGGGAAACCGGAGGGCTGGAGGGGTTGCAATCCTACAGGGATAAGCTCTTCTCAGTCTCAAGTTCAGAAGCTCTCTAGAAGGCTTAGGATCTCTGATTCCATGGATCTTCTGGGGGAGGGAGGGAGGGAGGGAGAGAGGAAGGGAGGGAAGGGAGGAGAGGGAGGGAAGGAAGGAAGGAAGGAAAGAAGGAAAGAAAGAAAGAGAAGGAGAATATGTAAAATATCTTAGGTGTGAATTGGGTGGGAAGGGAAGGGAAGGGAAGGGAAGGGAAGGAAGGGAGGGAGGGAGGGAGGAGAGAGAAGGAGAATGTAAAATATCTTAGATGTGAATTGGGTAGGGAAGGGAAGGGAAGAGAAGGGAAGGGGAGGGAGGGGGGGGGAAGGAAGGAAGGGATGGAGGGATGGAGGGAGGGAGGAAGGGAGGAAGGGAGGAAGGAAGGAAGGAAGGAAGGAAGGAAGGAAGGAAGGAAGGGGAGAAAAAATAGATGACTCTATTCACATTGGGCACTTAGTACCCCACCCACAGCTTTCTTCATCCCCCACCCCCCATTGGAAACCCTCAACGGATCACACTCAAGAGACTGCAAGGAGCTCAGCTCTCCACCCCTGGGAACAGCACCATGGTGTAGAACTAAGACTAAGCGGGACCCAGAATCAGAGGGTCCTTCTCTGCCTTTGAAAAATTCACAAGATGGAACTTAAGGGCCCATCCCTTTTCTATCTCTCCTTCAACAACCTATACCTCCTCCGGGGTTTGTTTTGAGGGAGGATGAGGTTAGAAGAGGGAGCACCATTTTCGCCAACTTGAGCTTTTGAGTGAAAGGCAAGACTTTGAGCTTGAAGGATGTACCAAGAGTTGGGTTGGCCACCTCTACAACAAGAGGAAGGCGAGGAAGGAAAAGGGAGCTTTGTGGTCGAGTCACATTGCTCTCTGCAACAAAGGAGGACCAGGAGTGGGATGCTGGGGATTCGCAAGGGTTCAGGAGAACCTCTAGCTAAGATTCTGTGCAGTTCGGAGAACCCCTAAATCCCACCCTGCCCCTCCCCTCCCAGGAATCCCCTTGCGGCCCGTTTTGGATGCAGGTAAGTGCAGGGCATGCATGGACGCTTGGGGAGAGCGAAAAACAGACCTACTGGAAGTTCGGGAAGACTGGAAATCAGCCTTCCCGTTTCTGGCCTCCAGAGGGCCTCTGGAGCCTGGGGAGGCTGTTTTCACCCTCCCGGAGGCTCAAAAAAAGCCTCCGGAGCCTGGGGAGGGCAAAAACGCTTCTCCCCCCCCCCCACCGTGGTACAGGAGGCCGACTAGGCCATGCCCACCCTGGCCACTCCCACCAAGCAACCAGGCAGAGAACCCCTTGCTGAAATTTTTGAAGCCCAGACCCCTGAGGGGGACGCCCCCAGACCCCCCACAATGATATAAAGTAAGACTGGCCAATACTTACTCTTTCCCCATCGGCCCCTGGCATTCCCAACAGTCCCGGTGGACCAATGTACCCCTGTGGGAAGCAGGGAAAGAAAAAAAAAACAAATAGCATTTTGTCTTCTCGGAAGGTGGGAGGTCAGAGGAGGTGATTGTCCAGCGCTGGGTCGAGGCGACCTTGATGAAAGAAACCTTGGGGCAAGTGTATATGCCCATGGACTGCATGGTGATATTTTCCACGATGTAGTCCAAGGGCACATACCCTCACGCCAGGGACCAGTGTGCTTGGCAGGGAAGAAGGAGGAGGAGGAAGAACCAGCAGATAAACAGGCAGATAATACCACTTAAGACTTATACACCGCTTCGCCGTGCTTTACAGACCTCTCTTGAGTGGCTTACAGAGCCAGCGGTCCTCATTTGACCGACCTCGGAAAGAAGGATGGAAGGCTGAGTCAACCTTGTGCCCCGTCAAGGATCGAACTCCAGGCAGTGGGCAGAGTCAGCCTGCAATGCTGCACTCTAACCACCGCACCACCCACGGTGCTTTTCAAGGTAATTCTCATCTATTCTTCTAGATCAGGGGTGTCTAGATCAGATGGAGGAGACAACCAGACGAAGGTGGGGACAAATGCACCATTAGTTTGGAATCACTACGCCTCCAATTTGACTCGACCGCTAGTAATTCAGATTCCTGCGTGCAGGTAGCATGAAATAAACTTGTTGTACTTTTCTGTTGTAGTTCTAGCTTGGTTCCTGACTTTTTGCACTTGACTCTGTGTGTGTGTGTCTGTGCGTGTGTGCGTGCAAGAAAGAGAGAGAGAGGGAGAGAGAGAGCGTATCTGTTTCTCCAATGCAGTTGTCTCTCTTTTTTTTTTTTGCAAAGTGCTATTTAAACGTTGGCAGGAGAAGCGTCTGAAATCCATGCAACCGATTTAGCTAGTGATAATCACAACCGCTTAGCCTCTTTGTGTTTTCATCACTTCCGGGTTTCCGTATCAACTCTCGCTGGACATTCCTAGCTGCATTCTGGTCAGTACTGGATTGATAAATTTTCTGGTTTGATTTGATCCATCAGAATCAGAAACTGGGTTTGCACTTCGCCCTAAGGACAAAACAATCTAATCTAGGTTAGAAAGTGGTATGAATGCAGCCCCTAAGTCTTTAACAAACCTGGTTATCCATGTTGCACAAAAAGATCCTTACGGCTTTATATATATAAATCCGGAAGGGTCTTTTTGTGCAATATATACTGTATATGGTGCCTCGATAGAAAAACACTTAATCTCTCCCCTGGCTCAAGCTGATGAAGGGAGGAGAACTTGTGGCTCAGAAGGTTAATTCAACTGCCTAACATGCAGGCAGCCCAAGTTCGAATCCAAGTAAGGGTATGGCTAGCTGATGAGAGCTAAATAGCTTGAAATAGATCTATACCAATCTCCCTTTATTTCTTGATCAGCGAAATATAAATTTGGTATAAAATGGTTTGTCGTGAATGCGACTGCTTGAGGGCTCCTGGATTGGAAATTTTCTTACTTCTTCGTAGGGTTTATGTGTGTTTTTCTTCTAGCCAGGTTTTCCCTACGTACAAAAAACCTTGGTTACGTAGGGAAAACCTGGCTAGAAGAAAAACACACACACACACACACACACACACACACACACACACACATATATATATATATATATATATATATTTGTTTTTCTTTCTTTTTCGTAGGTTTTATGTGTCTTTCTCTTTAGCCAGGTTCTACCTACGTAAACCAAGATATTATGCAGTCCTAGTTCAGTGAAATCACAATTCACTAGTTTCTGGGCTTTTTTTTTTTCTTTCTGGCAGCCAGCAGGCCCTTTGCTGCCCATTGGGAGACTAAGATAGATCAATGGGCAGCAAAGAGTCTGCTGGCTGCCAGAAGAAAAAAAAAGCTCAGAAACTAGTGAATTGTGATTTCACTGAACTAGGACTACATAATATCTTGGTTTACGTAGGTAGAACCTGGCTAAAGAGAAAGACACATAAAACCTACGAAATATATATAAAATATCAAATTTATATTTCAAGCATTTTTTAAAAAAACCAAGCATGCCAAACTCACTTTCCACCAAGACAGAATTACAGGTATCGTTCGACTTAACAACAGTTAATTTAGGGACCGTTACAACGGCACCGAAAAAAGTGACTTAGGGCCATTTTTCACACTTAATGGTCATTGCAGCATCCCCGCAGTCGCGTGATCGAAATTCAGAGGCTTGCCAACTGATTCATATTTATGACGGTCGCAGTGCCCCTGATCCGCGTTGGTGACCTTCAAAGTCAGTGAGGAAGCCAGAATTGCTTCACAACCCTGTGTGAGTAACGTTAACAATGGCAATGTTTCCCTTAAGAACACTGGCGAGAAAAGTCACTTAAGAAATGTCTCACTTAGCAACAAAAAAAATTGGGGGCGTGGCTCAGTTGGGGTCGTAAGTCGAGGACTACCTGTAACGACATGGTACCTCTGAGAACCTGGCGACTTTTGTAAAGTAACAACCGTTTCTTCTATTCCTTATGGCAGGGGTCTGCAACCTTAAACACTCAAAGAGCCATTTGGACCTGTTCCCCACAGAAAAGAAAACACCGGGAGCCACAAAACCCTTCCCGTGCCTGACTATTTCTTGAGCGGCCACAAAACTAGCATATGTAGTTGAATTAAACGTTCTGTTTTCTTCTGAAACTTTTCTTTCCTTGGATTTATCCATGGTTGGCCTACCGGAGTTTGGAAAGCTCAATAAATCGCGTGCCGGCATGTGTCTCACATTGGCGGTTGTGACGCATATTTTGAGAGACAGGGAGCCGCAGCAGAGGGGTGAAAGAGCCACATGCGGCTCCAGAGCCGCAGGTTGCTGACCCCTGCCCTATGGAATGGAAGCGCGACCTTTTGCAGTTACGAGTTTTCCTGAAGGGCGATCAATCGTTACCGCTTGAGCTCACTCCTGCAAGCTGACTCACTTGTACCCCCAGTTCCACCCCGTCCACTTTTCCTCTTTTCCACACCATTATATGAAAACGCTGCCAGGTTTAAAGTTTGTGTGTGTGTGTGTGTGTTTATTGCTCACAAGTTTCCTGGCACGAAAAAAGCAGCTGGTAGCGTTTTACTGCTCAGAGGAATAATAACACATGACAAGAGAGAGAGGGAGGAGGCGGATTTGCTGGCCTGGAGCTCCGCTGTGATTGATGACTGAAGATGAGACAAGGAAGAGGAACAAGACAAGGTAATAATCCTGCCATTTGACTTCTTTGGGCAAAAAAGCAGGGAGGAAATAGAGAGAGGAGGAGGAGAGGGAAGAGGAGGAGGAAGAGGAGGAGGAGGAGGAGGAGGAGGAGGAGGAGGAAGGAAGAAGAAGGGGAAGAGGAAGAGGAAGAGGAAGAAGAAGAGGAGGAGGATGAAAAAGAAGAAGGAAGAAGAAGGGGAAGGGGAACAGGAACAGGAAGAAGAAGAGAAGGAGGAGGAGATCTCAAGGGGGGAAAGGAAATTTCAGCACCCAGACTAGAGTAGAAAACCTGAGCAATATCTCCAAGCATTTCTTTTTTTTTCATCTCCAAAATTGAGGTTTTTTTTCAAATGAAGCAAGCATCAGAGTATAGATGCTATGACTTGGAGTATGGAGTTAGTCAGAGCATGGAGTAACATTGATGCTTCTGGCTTGGAGTATGGAGTTAGTCAGAGCATGGAGTAATATTGATGCTTCTGGCTTGGAGTATGGAGTTAGTCAGAGCATGGAGTAACATTGATGCTTCTGGCTTGGAGTATGGAGTTAGTCAGAGCATGGAGTAACATTGATGCTTCTGGCTTGGAGTATGGAGTTAGTCAGAGCATGGAGTAACATTGATGCTTCTGGCTTGGAGTATGGAGTTAGTCAGAGCATGGAGTAACATTGATGCTTCTGGCTTGGAACATGGAGTTAGTCAGAGCATGGAGTAACATTGATGCTTCTGGCTTGGAGTATGGAGTTAGTCAGAGCATGGAGTAACATTGATGCTTCTGGCTTGGAGTATGGAGTTAGTCAGAGCATGGAGTAACATTGATGCTTCTGGCTTGGAGTATGGAGTTAGTCAGAGCATGGAGTAACATTGATGCTTCTGGCTTGGAACATGGAGTTAGTCAGAGCATGGAGTAACATTCATGCTACTGGCTTGGAGTATGGAGTTAGTCAGAGCATGGAGTAACATTGATGCTTCTGGCTTGGAATATGGAGTTAGTCAGAGCATGGAGTAACATTGATGCTACTGGCTTGGAGTATGGAGTTAGAGCATGGAGTAAAAGTGCCAGTACTCCAGAGTCTGGAGTAACAATGATGCTAGTGGGTAGAGGGAACACTGAACTTTGAAGAGCTAAAAAAAAACAACAGAAAAAGCCACCGAAATCAGGTGTGAGTGTTACACGTGCCCCTTCACTCTACAAATTGTGTTCCTCTCTATTTCCAGGTGGCTGGGCACTTGCTCCTTGGCTTAATTTCAAAATGCACCAGTTTGGGGGAGAAATGCAAGGACAGAAGTCCGGTGTCCTCACAAACGAATATCCCAGGATCCAATTTGAGTCAGTCCCCGGGACCAAATGTTTACTTTTCCAAGCTTTTGGGCTCGTGCTGGAACCCATCCCCAAGGAATATCTCCCTTTCTCTCTCTCTCTCTCCAGAATATATTCTGGAGATATTCAGATATTCTAAAAGAGAGAGAGAGAAATTCCCAGGGATCCTGCACGAATCCCAACATTTGGAAGAATAAATCTTTGGTCCTGGGGACCGACTCAAGATTGGTTCTTCCAGTGTTCTCAGTTTATCCTCAACTCTGAAACCCCGAGTTGGGTTGGTACAAGAATCAAACTGAGGTCTGGAGAAAGGGGTGAACTGACTAATCGTCAGAGACAGTGGTGGTATTCAGCCAGTTTTATCAGGTTCAGACTAACTGGTAGCGGCGGCTGCGGGAGGCTCCGCCTACGCGCCCGGACGTCATCACATTCCGTTTTTGAAGCTCTGCACATGCGCGAAGGTGGCGCATGTGAGCGAAGCCACCAAGCGCGTATGCGAGCACATTTGCAAACCGGTAGTGAAGTTAAATAAATACCACCCCTGGACAGAGAAGAACCCGAGTCCTCGTCTTCTGACTCTTTTTTCTCAGTTCCGATCTCTTCCACCGCATGTCCATTAAGAGAGTGGAAGAGCGGAGAAAAGCAGCCGTTTCGAATAGCTCCGACCTCAACCTGCAAACGTCAGAACCCAACCCGGCGGTGGAAAGACCTTCTCGCTGACTTACCTGGCTCCCTTTTGGGCCAGGCTCCCCTATCGGTCCAGGTAATCCCTAAAACACAAGAGGGGAGAGAGAAACAAACGAAAGGCAAAATTAATTTGGAGAGGTTCCCGCTCGGAGCATTTTCCAGGAGAGCAGCAAAAGGCCAGAGAGTGGAAACACGCGGCTGGGAATTGGGAAAGTGTTAAGGAAAAACCAGAAAGGAATTTCAAAAGTCAGGAGAAATAGTAGTAGTAGTAGTAGTAGTAATAATAATAATAATAACAACAACAACAACAACAACAACAACAACACAACAACAACAACAACAACAACAACAACAACAATAATAATAATAATAATAATAATAATAGTAGACATCTACCCAACTAATGGTTGGAAGGAGATGACTCTGCAAATATATATACAGGATATATATATCCTGTTTCCCCGAAAACAAGACCCAACTGGAAAATAAGTCCTAGCATGATTTTTCAGGATGCTCATAATATAAGCCCTACCCCCCAAAATAAGCCACAGTTAAAATAGTCAGCCAGATGGATGCATTTAGTACCGTATTTACCCCAAAATAAGACCTAACCAGAAAATAAGCCCTAATGCATCTTTTGGAGCAAAATTAATATAAGTCCTGGTCTTATTTTCAGGGAAAACATGGTACATATCTGTGTTTTTTTAGCGGAATTTGTTTCCAACGGTAATACAAAACAGGTACCCTGTGCCCAGAGAAGACATATTCAAGTCAAAATGGACAGCCCCATTACCAGGATCAAATCGGTAGAATAGAATAACAAGATTTGGAAGAGGCCTTGGAGGTCTTCTAGTCCAATCCTCTGCTTAGGTGTAGTATACCCTACACCCAGTAGCAGGCTGCAACTAGTTTAACAACTGATTCGGTGATCGCACGCTTCGCGCAGCGTTCAAAATACAGCAGTTTGAAGCTCAGCTTCTTACCTTCTAAGGCAGCCCCGGTAAGTAGAACAGCGGAGGCACAGAAATCAGCTGGGCTGGGCGAATCAGCTGAGCCAGAAAGAAGCAAATATAGGACAGGATAGGGCAGGTGCAGGTGGGCAGGGCCAGTTGATCATCGGAACTACCAATTCACCCGAACCGGTCTAAACCAGCAGCAGCTCACCACTGCCTACATCACTTCAGATAAATTATTATCCAATCTCTTCTTAAAAGCTTCCAGTGTTGGAACATTTACAACTTCTGGAGGCAAGTTGTCCCACTGATTAATTGTTCTAACTGTCAGGAAATTTCCCCTCAGTTCTAAGTTGCTTCTCTCCTTAGGTTAGCGATCATGTGCTCTCTTGCTTCTACATACAGATGCACGTCATCCAACCGTTGGCCAACATGAGACAGTTCTGTCAATGGCCTTTTACTGGGAGCTGAACGTTGGATGAGATGTTCCCCTGTTTGGCAGACGTTGGAAGCCCAAACATCTGGATCTAGAATAGGAAGGCAGGAGCTAAGCCTTGCTGTCTCCGTAGGGTAAGGCTAGGGGGGTACGAAGCTGCCATGCCAACTCATATTATCCCACTGCGTCCGCCCACACAGCTTCCAGTTGGCGCTGTCCCCAACTTGGAAGCCTTGTGAAGATTGAGGTCCAACCTGCTCTCCAATCCCTAGCTGAGTGGATGTCAGAAGCGTCTGGCTGGCGCTTCTGGGAGAGACAGTGATGGATCTAGAAAGGTTCTTTATTTCTTTTCCCTTTATTTCCCCCCGTGTGTTTTTCATAAATAGATTGCTCACCGCGTTTTATTGTCCTTCGGTTCTGACTTTTATGGAAGAGTCTAACAGTTTATGGGGGAGGGGCGGAAAAGAACTGAGAAAGAAAGAAGGACACCGTTCGTTGGGCCAACCTCATCTCGCCAAGTTGCGATTTCCTCCCCCCCCCAAAAAAAAGAATAGGATTTGTTTCAGTGACATTCAAAAAATGTTACTACCAGTTTTGTGGGTATGGCATGGCTTGGTGGGCGTGGCAGGTTACTGCAAAATCTCCATTTCCTCCCGATCAGCTGGGACTCGGGAGGCAGAGAATAGATGGGGGCTGGGCCAGTCAGAGGTGGTATTTACCGGTTCTCTGAACTACTCAAAATTTCCGCTACCGGTTCTCCAGAACCTGCTGAATAACCACCTCCAGTCTGTCTGCGACAATGTCACAATGGGACAAATGCAGGGATGGGCTCCTGGGGGTTCGGCAGGGTTCGGGAGATCCTCCAGCCAAGGATCGCCTGGGTTCGGCGAATCCCCAAATGCCACCTGTGGCTGGCCATGCCCACCCAGCCCCGTCCCTCCCAGGAGTCTACACACGACCTGTTCATCATTCCAGGTAAGTGCAGAGGCTGCGCAGAGAGTCTGGGAAGGTTAAAAAACAGGTCTACCGGAGGTCCTGGAAGTCCAGAAACGGACCCCGAGGGAAGCTGTTTTTGCCCTCCCGGAAGCTTCAGCAAAGCCTCCGGAGCCTGGGGAGGGTGAAAAATGGGCCTCCCGGAAGTTCCTGAGGTCCAGAAACAGGTCTGTTTCTGGCATCCCGAGGGTCTCCGGAACCCGGGGGAAGCAGTTTTCACCCTCCTGGGGGCTCGAGGAAAGCCTCCTGAGCCTGGGGAGGGTGAAAAATCCCCCCCCCTCACCGTGGTGCAGGCGGCCGACTAGGCCACGCCCACCATGGCCGCGCCCACCCAGCAACGGGGCAGTGAACCCGTTGCTGAAGGATCTGAAGCCCACCCCTGGATCTATGAGCAGGTTGGAGTATTTTCAAGATTTAAATCTTGGTTCTTTTCTTTTTAATCTTAAAGCAGGATGTCAACCTCCTCTTTTTCCAGGCGGAAAATTCAGTTTCGTGTTTTTGGCCCCTGTGGAATTATCTGTCCCTTTTCGGTTTGGGGGGGGGGGAATTTTTTTTTTTTATTTTTTTTTTGCAGGAGGTTTCTGTGGCTCCCAAAAATGACGAAATGAGGCTTACTCACAGACAAGACACGCAAATCCAAACGTTTTTTTCCATTCAGCCTGTGAAAAAGGCATTAAACTGAGGCTGTCCTAAATTGAAGGAAGTTGCAGAAATTGTTCTTCTCACATTGATAGGTTTGTGGGGTCCTTTTTTGGGGGGGGCTCTCTGAGCTTGGTTGTTTTCTTGCAGACATTTCGTGACCCAACTAGGGAATATCATCAGTGCTAGAAGGGAGTGGGGTGTGTGGGGATGAGGAGGAGGAGGAATGGAAGGTGGGGTCCTTACTGCTCTTTGAACTTGATTGTTTTCTTGAAGGCATTTCATGACCCAACTAGGGAACATCATCATTGCCAAGATGCTACTAGCACTAGATCTCCAACACTGATAATGTTAGCTACCGTGTTTCCCCAAAAATAAGACCCTGTCTTATATTTCTTTTGCCACCAAAAAGGCACCAGGTCTTATTTTCAGGAGGGATTTGTCATCCACTGAGTCACCTCTACCCTGGCCTCCTTTTCACTGTCAGAGGCCTTCAGGAACTTCTTCTGCGACCGACAAGGCTTTCCTGAAAGTCTCTGCAGCCGATAACAGCGCTCCGGATCGATCCGGAGTGCTGTTAACGGCTGCAGAGCCCTTCAGGAAAGCCTTGCCAGCCTTGCTGGCTGCAGAAGAACTGGGCCAGCAATGCAGGTGTCGGGGTGTACGAGGCCTGGCTACAACTGTCCGAAGGTAAGTAGTAGGGCAGCTCCACTCCCACCCCCATCCCCATCCTAGCTTAATTTTTACCCGTGCACCCTGGAATGGGTGGAGTCAGCTTATTTTGGGGGTTAGGGCTTATATTGGATGCATGTGTAAAAAAAATCAAGCTAGGGTTTACTTTCAGAGTAGGTCGTATTTTCAAGGAAACGCGTAGCTGAGTCCTGAAATGTTTGCAAATCCACAACCAAACTTAGAGACCACCATGGAGTTGCAAATATTCTCTTCTATTGATTGACAAGTTTGCCCCCCATGCATTAACCCAAAGGACCCTCTGGAGTCCCCAAGAACATTCAAAACCTTTGTAAAAAAAAAAGAAAGAAAGCAAGAACCAGACAATATCTCCCGTATTCAGGGGTTTGTTGCGAGACAAGGAACTCACCTGATCGAATCAACTGGCGTATCAAATATGGTGTTCCAGAAGAGCAGCATCTCAGGAAGAAGCTGAAGGTTGCAAGGCCTTCTCCCTGACATGCTAGCTTTCCCCATGAAGAGAAGAACGGAGGAGACAACGGCTCCATCTGCACACCCCTCCTGATAGGATCCGAAATCACCTACCAGGATTTCCGCCCCACCCCCACCCCCCACCCACCATCCTGTGCTGCGTTCAGCACAATAAAAGATTTACTGCACCTGCCTGCCAGGATAACCTTTGGCTCCTGGGTTTCCATGAACACCTCGATTGCCCTGTCCAAAAGGAAAACGCAAAAGAAGAGTTAGCGGAGGGGGGGGGAAAGGAAAATAGGAAGAATTAAGTTCAATTCGTACATCTAATTGTCTTGACAAAACAGCTGCCCTGCGGAAGTAGAAGAAGACCTGAAAAGCCTTGGTAGTACAGGGGTTTAAGGCACCCTGTTATTAAGCTTATTAAGACCAGCTGCCTGCAATTACTGCAGGGTTCGAATCTCTCCAAGGCTCAAGGTTGACTCAGCCTTCCATCCTTTCTAAGGTAGGTGAAATGAGGACCCAGTTTGTGGGGGCAATAAGCTGACTTTGTATAAATATACAAAAGGATGAAGGCTATTGCTGAGCACATTGTAAGCCGCCCTGAGTCTTCGGAGAAGGGTGGCATATAAATCAAATTAAAAAAAAAAAAAAAGTTTCGATGGAGAACGTGTGATTTTTATTTATTTATTTATTTTAAATTCTATCCATCCAGAACTTCTGGCCAACTGCGAGACGAGCATCCCACCCTAAATGCATGAAAAATCTCAAAATGAGGAGAAATACTCACGGGCTCCCCGGGGTGGCCTGTTGGACCGAAATAGCCTTTATGTCCCTGTTAGAAAGAATAAACATGGAACATATAAGTCTGTAGAGATTCTCCATCATCCAGGTCACGGATGTCCCAAAGGTGGGGGTTTTTTTTTTCAGGAGACAACTGGAGTTTCTTGGGGTTTTTTTTCTTTTGAAGACGTTTCGCTTCTCATCCAAGAAGCTTCTTCAACTCTGACAGGATAGTGGGGAATGGAAGGATTGATACTCCTTGCAGACAGCTGGTCATTTGCATCCTTTTAGAGGGTCGTTGAAGCACTTGGAGGCAAGGGTGGGATTTAGAAATTTTAGCAACTGGTTCTCTGCCCGATTGCAGGGTGGGCTTGGCCACGGTGGGTATGGCCTGCTCAGCCTCCTGCACCATGGGACGCGGGGGCGGTTTCACCCTCTCTAGGCTCCCAAGGCTTTCCTCAAGCCTCTGGGAGGGTGAAAATGGCCTCCCTCGGGCTCTGCAGGTCCTCCAGAGGCTGGAAATGGCCCCATTTTCAGACTTCCGGTACTTCCGGTAGGCCTGTTTTTCACCCTCCTCAGGCTCTGGAGGCTTTCCTTGAGCCTCTGGGAGGGCAAAAACAGCCTCCCCTGGGCTCTGGAGACCCAGGATTCTGGAACTTCTGGTAGGCCCGTTTTTCACGCTCCCAGAGCCTCTATGCGGCCCCTGCACTTAACTGGCATCCAAAACGGGCTGCGTGGATACTCCTGGGAGGGAAGGGGCAGGGTGGATGGGGTCAGCCAGTCCTTGAAAAAACCAGTTTGGTGAACCAAATTAAAATTAAGATCCGGTTCTCCTGAACCGGTCCGAACCGGCTGAATCCCAGCTCTGACTGGATGATGGTGGGGAATGGAAGGATTTATTCTCTTGCAGACAGCTGGTCATTTGCGTCCTTTTTAGAGAGTCGTTGAGGCCATTTGGAGGTTTATCTGTGTTCTCAGGGTCACCTGAGTGGTGCTCCTAGTTCCTGTAGTTGCCTTCCTTAAAAAAAATCACATTTGGGGCAATCAGGACTGAGAATCTCTACAGACTTTTAGCTATACAATTTAGGATGAGCACCCTTCGAATGTTGTAGGAATGGATTTCCAGAAGAAAAATTGCAGATTACAAGAGCCATTAACACCACTCAGGTGACCCTGAGGACACAGATAAACCTCCAAGAGGCCTCAACGACTCTCTAAAAGGATGCAAATGTCCAGCTGTCTGCAAGGAGTATAAATCCTTCCATTCCCCACCACCATCCAGTCAGAGCTGAAGAAGCTTCTTGGACGAGAAGCGAAACGTCTTCAAGGAGAAACAAAAGACACAGATAAACCTCCAAGTGGCCTCAACGACCCTCTAAAAGGATGCAAATGACCAGCTGTCTGCAAGGAGTATAAATCCTTCCATTCCCCACCATCCCGTCAGAGCTGAAGAAGCTTCTGGGATGAGAAGCGAAACGTCTTCAAAAGAAAAAACCAGAAGGTCCAATTGCTCTTGAAAAACCACCTTTGGGACATAGACATATAACTATTTAGTAGTTTAGGGAAAAATGGTCTTCGAAACGCAAGAAAGTAAGGTGCCCACGTATGATCCAACTTGATGAAACCACCAAACACCAGCATCGTGGCTTGCTTGGATCAACCTTCCTCGTCTTGAGTGAGGAGGTGGGAAGGAGAAGTCCCAGACCATTCTTGGGTGAGGTGGAGATACCACACGCCAAACTATGTGGCTGTTTTTGCCAGTGTCTGCTACTAAAAAAATAAAATAAAATAAAATTGCCACCCAATACGCTGGTGATTCCTTCCACGGCTTCCTGCAGATGGCTTTGTCCTCTCAAGCAGCACGAGAAATGTATGAATCAGAAGGGAAGCCTCCTGATGCGCCAAATTCCTTCTTTACGCATGGAAGCTGGGCCAGCTGTCGGTCATAATAGATCATCCTGCAGTTGGATGGGGCCACTTGTCTAATTCAGCATGTGGCTTCCTACATTGCTTAGGATAGAAACACAGCACAGCTGCTGGAAGGTCTGTAGAGTTTGCTAAGCTCGCCCCCACGTTTCCAGAGCCCAGCTCCATCTTAAACAGAAAGGTTTGGGATTCAGTATATGGACATAAGATTCAGCAGCCTTCCAGTATTTGAGAGGCTGCCACAAAGAATAACAGAATAACAGACGAGTTGGAAGGGGCCTTGGAGGTCATCTAGACCAACCCCCTGCCGAAGCAGGAGATCTGACATCATTACTGACCGATGGCAGTCCAGTCTCTTCTTGAAAGCTTCCAGGGATGAAGCTCCCACAACTTCTGAAGGCAACTTCTGTTCCATGGGTTGATTGTTCTCATTGTCTTATTTCTAGGTTGAATCTCTCCTTGATCAGTTTCCATCCATTATTCCTTTTCTGGCCTTTGGGTACTTTGGAAAATAGCTCGACCCCCTTCCTCCTCTCTGTGGCAGCCCCTTAAATATTGGAAGACTGCTATCATGTCTCCCCTGGTCGTTCTCTTCACTAGACCAGCCATGCCCAGTTCCTACAACCGTTCATCATAAGTTTTAGCCTCCAGTCTCCTCATCATCTTGGTTGCTCTTTTCTGGAGTCTCAACATTTTTTTTATAGTGTGGTGACCAAAACTGGATGCAGTATTCTATGTGTGGTCTTACTAAGGCTTTATAGAGTGGTATTAGAACCTCACTTGATCTTGATTGTATCTCTCTGTTAATGCAATTTAGGATTGCGTTGGCTTTTTTTGGCTGCAGCCGCACACTGTTGACTCATATTTAATTGGTTGTCCACTAAGACTCCAAGATCCCTCTCACAGTTACTGCTATTAAGCTTTCTTCTAATCTATTTTGGTTTTTCTTGCCTAAGTGTAAGGCAAGAAACAACAGATGGAAACGAATCAAGGAGAGAAGCAACCTGGAATTAAGGAGAAACTTCCTAACGGTAAGGACAATTAACCAGTGGAACAGCTTGCCACCAGAAGTTGTGGGTGCTTCATCACTAGAGGCTTTTAAGAAGAGACTGGACTGCCATCTGTCAGAAATAGTATAGGGCCATGATGGCGAACCTATGGCACACATGCCACAGGTGGCACATATAGCCATATTGGTGGGCACGCAAGCTCAGCTCCGGCGCACACATGCTGATTTTCAGGCCTTCTGGGCCCACCAGAAATAGGCTGTTTCCTGCCTGTTCGTGAGACCGGAAGTTGGCAAACAGGCCGTTTTCGGCCTCCGGAGGGCCTCAGGGCAGTGGAGAAGGCAGTTTCTGCCCTCCCCAGACTCCTAGAAAGGCTCTGGAGGCTGGGGACAGCAAAAAACGGGCCTTCTGGTCCCACCGGAAGTTGGCAGACAGGCCATTTCCGGCCTCCGGAGGGCCTTCAGAGGGGTGAGGAAGGCTGTTTTCGCCCTCCCCAGACTCCTAGAAAGGCTCTGGAGCCTGATGAGAAAGAAAAACAGGCCTACCGTGTCAGGGTGGCAATTAATCCCATTCTGCTTTTGGGTAATTGCACCTTGATTTAGAGAAGTGGATCGAGACCTTTTCCTTGAAGTATACTTTAAGAAAATAAACCCGAAGATATATTTTTCTAAGAAAAACTCATGTATTTGTTATAAAGAAAATAAAACATCTTACTAATCTAATTAGTTACATCTTGGCAAAGCTTTCCCGGACACCTCTCCTGGCCGGAGAACAAAGAAAAGATAGAAGGAAGTGAAAGAATGTGGACATGTGCAGTTAGCTTACTGATAAGAACTTGGCAAGCTACGGTAAGTCTGAAAGTTCAAAAATAAGAGCTCATCTGGTAAATACAAAACACAGTGACATACCGGGCCATTGAGTGCCAGGAGCAGGGGGAGCATGGGGGGGTCGTGCACACATGCACAGCGGTGGGACACATAGAATTATGGATGTGCACATGCGCGACCCCCCCTCCTGTCATGCGATGGCAAAAAGATTAGCCTTCACTGGACTAGAAGCCCTCCAAGATCTCTTCCAGCGCTATTCTGATTGATACCCTAAATTGACCCTAAAGTCAGCGCCACGTTCGATGCCTTGAAATTGCCTGGAATATTTTGCTACCTTCACCAAACCACCCACTTCTTCTCCAATCCATAAACCTGACCCACAAGTTGCTCACAGCGTCCTGAAAATCTTTAGGCAAACGGGATGGTCCTTAAAGCTGCTTGACTGACCCCGTGAGTTGTTGTTGTCGTTATTGTTTTTGATTAACCACCGTTCCAAAGAAAGACGGGAACGTGATGAAAGAGGTGGAGAAATCGGGCTTTTAAGCGATGTTGATAGACATCCCCAAGAGTCTTCAAGAGAGAACTGGAAATGTCAAGAGACAGGAGGGAAAAAAACCGACCATCTGGATTTTTTTTCTTTTTTTTTTTTTTTTTTTTGTACGCTTCTGCAGAATTCCAAGCTGTCAATCACAATGGAGCCTTCTTTTTGGGAGAAGGGGACTAGTAATCTCTCATCTCTGGTGGCAGGCTTAATCCTCAGCTGATGGTCCGTGTGACAGTCCGGAGAGAAAAGAAGAGGCGAAATGATGACCAAAGCAAACAGCTTCGTACATCCACCAGAAAAACCACAAACACAGCTCTGTTTAATGGTGAGCTGAAAACTTTCCAGGGGTTGATCCAGATCCAAAAAAGTACTTTACAGTTATGACAATATAAAAAAGGGTCAGGCGCCTCAAACCTGAGGGGGGGTTGGAAATCCTATTTGTAGATTTCGACGTAGCAGTCGTTGGCCACTTTTCTTTTTTTTTTTTAAATAGACGCTCTTGAGTTCTTCACGTCCAGACCCAAAACTGGACTGATCCTGAGATACAGCCAGCAGGGACAATTCTGCAGACAGACAGATTCTGCAGAGTTGGGAGGGACCTTATAGGTCATCTAGTCCAACCCCCCGTTCAAGCAGGAGACCCTACACTATTTCTGACAGATGGCAGTCCAGTCTCTTCTTGAAAGTCTCAAGTGATGAAGCTCCCACAACTTCTGAAGGCAACGTCTGTTCCACGGGTTGATTGTCCTCACTGTCAGAAAATTCCTCCTTATTTCTAGGTTGAATCTCTCCTTGATCAGTTTCCATCCGTTATTCCTTGTCTGGCCTTCAGGTGCTTTGGAGAATAGCTTGACCCCCTCCTCTCTGTGGCAGCCCCTCAAATATTGGAAGACTGCTATCCTGTCTCCCCTGGTCCTTCTTTTCACTAGACTAGCCATGCTCAGTTCCTGCAACCGTTCATCGTATGTTTTAGCCTCAGGTCCCCGAATCATCTTGGTTGCTCTTCTCTGCACTCTTTCTAGAGTCTCCACATCTTTTTTATAGTGTGGTGACCAAAACTGCGTGCAGTACTCTAGGTAGGGCCTTACTAGGGCTTTATAGAGTGGTATTAGTACCTCACTAATATCACAGACCGGATTCAAAGCCAAATTTAGTCCGTGTGGAAATGGATCGCTCACAATAACCCAGGTGCAACTTCCTTGGAAACAGGAAAGGGGAACCTTCTCCAGATGTGGGAGGAACAGAGGTTGAAGGATGACCGTTGAAGACCCATCAACCACCGCTAGAAAGGGCTGCAAAAGCAACATTTGAAATTGCTGGTGGGTTGTTGTTTTTTTTTGAAGGCATCTCTGCATGGTTCGGTCAGCTCTTTCGGATACCCTTGTCAAGGGTCAAAAAGGCATTGTGGGTAAATCCATGGCTGGAACAAAGGTCTGAAGAAGTCACGGGGAAGAGTCCTGTTCTGTGTGTGGCTGTTTCCATTGTGTCATGAAAACCAAGGAACTGGAGGAAAAATGGACTCGTGTCTCACCAAAAGCAGGAAATACGTGCGGTGCCAACTCATGAGCTGGGGGAATGCCTTGGCAGATGTTCAGTGATGCCAAAACATGACCCAACACTGTTCTTGCCTTGCCACGCAACACTTCTAAGATTGCTTTGTAGGACAGGAGGCCCCTTTCTCACCTTCTCCCAAAGAACATTAAGTTTCCCACACTTTGGACTTCTACACATTCTGGTTTCCAAAAAGGAAAACAGAGAAAGCTTTCTAAACCGAAGGTGTTCGCGGTAGAGCAACGTCGACAGAGAAGTTACAACCTTCCACTCCTAAATTTCCACACGTTCTCTCTCCTTCTCTCTTTGAATTTAGGAATCTGTAGAGTGACCTCTCCCCCTTCCTATGGACCTTTTCAATAAATGTAGCTTTGGTAACAGGGTGGACCACCAGCTCGCCTGTTGATGTCGCTGAACTACAACTCCCAGCATCCGGTAGGGCAGTTGGAAGTTGACATTCAACAACTCCTATGTAGGTACACCAGGATCAATACTCTTGATCGGGGCCTTCTCATGTAAAGTTGGGCCAAAGATCTAGATCATAAGTTCTTGGTAGGCTCTTTCTAACCAGTCAATGTTCCTTCAAGTTTGAAATTGTTCTTGAAGATGTTCCTCCAGAATACATCAATGAAGTCCTACTATTCAAGGCTACTAAAGAATTACTGCTTGCCTCAAATAGTTCTTGGGTTCGGGAGGGGCCAAAATGTCACTTGAGTCCATTCCCAGTCCACCTCAGGAGAACCACCCAATAGGATCCACCCCAGAATAAAAAAGTTCTTACCTTCCTACCAGGTGATCCAGGAAATCCTGTCAAACCAGGTAAGCCCATGTGACCCTGCAACCAGAAGAAGGAAGGTTTTTATTTGACCCGGCCACCAGAAATCTAAGCATGAATGAACGTCATAACATCAAATCTTCACAATCGCAAAGATCATCTCAGGGGACATTGTCATAAGAGAATGAGGGATTGTGATTGAAAGCTAACTTAGCTTCTCCTTCTACCCATGCAATGTTGACAGGTGTGCAACCCAGAACAATCTGGAACTGAACATACTCAAAACCATAGAAATGGTGGTGGACTTTAGGAGAAACCCTCCCATACTACCACCTCTTACAATACTGGACAAAAACAGTATCAACAGTAGAGACCTTCAAATGTCTAGGTTCTAGAATGATTCTTGACGAATGTATCTTTTCTTTTTATTTACACTGAGAGCATATGCACCAAAGACAAATTCCTTGTGTATCCAATCACACTTGGCCAATAAAGAATTCTATTCTATTCTATTCTATTCTATTCTATTCTATTCTATTCTATTCTATTCTATTCTATTCTATTCTATTCTATTCTATTCTATTCTTGACGATTCTTGACGATTCTTGACGATTCTTGACGAATGCATCTTTTCTTTTATGTACACTGAGAGCATATGCACCAAGACAAATTCCTTGTGTATCCAATCACACTTGGCCAATAAAAGAATTCTATTCTATTCTATTCTATTCTATTCTATTCTATTCTATTCTATTATTCTATTCTTGATGATTCTTGACGAATGCATCTTTTCTTTTATGTACACTGAGAGCATATGCACCAAGACAAATTCCTTGTGTGTCCAATCACACTTGGCCAATAAAGAATTCTATTCTATTCTAGTCTACTCTAGTCTAGTCTACTCTAGTCTAGTCTACTCTACTCTAGTCTAGTCTTCTACTCTCTTCTCTTCTCTTTTCCTCTCCTCTCCTATTCTATTCTAGTCTTCTCTTCTAGTCTTCCCCTCCCCTCCCCTCCCCCTCCCCTCCCCTTCCCCTTCTTCCCTTCCCTTCCCTTCCATTCTATTCCTATTCTATTCTATTCTATTCTATTCTATTCTATTCTATTCTATTCTTGATGAATGCATCTTTTCTTTTATGTACACTGAGAGCATATGCACCAAGACAAATTCCTTGTGTGTCCAATCACACTTGGCCAATAAAGAACTCTATTCTATTCTATTCTATTCTATTCTATTCTATTCTAGTCTAGTCTAGTCTAGTCTAGTCTAGTCTTCTAGTCTCTTCTCTTCTCTTCTTCTCTTCTCTTTTCCTCTCCTCTCCTATTCTATTCTAGTCTTCTCTTCTAGTCTTCTCTTCTCCTCCCCTCCCCTTCCCTCCTCTTCCCTTCCCTTCCCTTCCCTTCCCTTCCCTTCCCTTCCCTTCCCTTCCCTTCCCTTCCCTTCCCTTCCCTTCCCTTCCCTTCCATTCCATTCCATTCTATTCTATTCTATTCTATTCTATTCTATTCTATTCTATTCCATCAGGAAGATAGTTTTCTGGGCAATGGCATGCGCTGATTTTTCTTGTACTATTCAAAGTCAGTCTTCTTTTGATATTTTTGTACAACGGAGCCACAGGAAAACCTCTGCCATTCGGAGGATTAAAAACATCATAAACTAATGTCAGATCGCTTCCAGGAGCCCTCCCACCCCAGGCTAATCTCTTGAGACTGTTTAAGCATGGCTCTATAAATGCTAGTTAATCTGATGTTTGTCTACCATTGCCAAGGACCTTCTCTTCTGGCACATTCAGAAGGTCAGAAGAGAAGCAGAATCTTCTTGGACATCCACTGAGGCTCGGAGAACAGTCCACCAGCACATACAGTAAATCAAGTTCACTACCATAAATATTTGTGACGTTTCCTAGTCCATTGAGAAGCGGGGAAAGAGGAATGCAAAAATCCTGACGACACACGGCGCACTCGAAATCCACAATGCGACCCCCACTGAATACGAGAAAACCGGGTGCTACTTTACCTTCTGACCATACCGTGCTTTCCCAGGTGATAATCCAGGGTCTCCTTTCTGGCCCTGAAAACGGAGAACAAAATTTTAGCATCAGAGAACACAAAAAAAGAGCCTTGGTAGTACAGTAGTCTAAGGCACCCTGTTATTAAGCTGGTTATTAAGACCAGCTGCCTGCAATTACTGCAGGTTCGAATCTCGCCAAGGCTCAAGGTTGACTCAGCCTTCCATCCTTTCTAAGGTAGGTAAATTGAGGACCCAGTTTGTGGGGGCAATAAGCTGACTTTGTATAAATATACAAAAGGATGAAGGCTATTGCTTAGCGCGCTGTAAGCCGCCCTGAGTCTCCGGAGAAGGGCGGCATATAAATCAAAATTAAAAAAAAAAAAAACTCAGTCCAGCCTGGATTGAGGGGGTTTTTTGATTATTTTAATGGGTTTTAATATACGTTTAAATTACATATTTATACATTTATGTATTTTATGTATGCATATTTATGCATTTTACGTTTTATTGGGTTTGTTTTTCTTTGTTGTGAGCCGCCCTGAGACCTACGGAGATAGGGCGGCATACAAATTATATTAAATAAATAAATAAATAAAATAAAATATTGCAAGAGTTGGGGACAACCTCCAAGAGAATTTGAACAAGAGGGAGGCGATTTTCTAAAATGTCGACCTCCCGTTAGTAAATCCAAGTTGGGCAAACAAAGTGTAATGGCCGCCGGTGGCTTCTGGGAAGAGTGCATGAATATCTCTTAGCCTTTTTTATCATTACAGGAAAGAATCAACCCATCAGGAGCTGCGACGGCGCGGCGGTTAGAGTGCAGTACGGCAGGCTACTTCTGCTTGACTGCCGGCTGCCTGCAATTTGGCAGTTCGAATCCCACCAGGCTCTAGGTTGACTCAGCCTTCCATCCTTCCGAGGTCGGTAAAATGAGGACCCAGATTGTTGGGGGGCAATAGGCTGACTCTGTAAACTGCTTAGAGAGGGCTGTAAAAGCACTATGAAGCAGTACACAAGTCTAAGTTCTATTGCTATCTGTCTGTCTCTCTATACCTATCTATCTATCTATCTATCTATCTATCATCTATCTATCTATCTATCTATCATCTATCTATCTATCTATCTATCTATCTATCATCTATCTATCTATCATCTGTCATCTATCTATCTATCATCTATCATCATCTATCTATCTATCATCTATCTATCTATCTATCTATCTATCTATCATCTATCTATCTATCTATCTATCTATCATCTATCTATCTATCTATCTATCATCTGTCATCTATCTATCTATCATCTATCATGTATCATCTATCTATCATCTATCATCTATCATCTATCTATCATCTATCTATCTATCATCTATCATCTATCAATCATCTATCATCTATCATCTATCATCTATCATCTATCATCTATCTATCTATCTATCTATCTATCTATCTACCTACCTACCTACCTACCTACTCTATCTATCTATCTATCTATCTATCTATCTATCTATCTACCTACTCTATCTATCTATCTATCTATCTATCTATCTATCTATCCTATCATCTGTCATCTATCTATCTATCATCTATCATCTATCATCTATTATCTATCTATCTATCTATCATCTATCATCTATCTATCATCTATCTATCTATCATCTATCATCTATCATCTATCTATCATATATCATCTATCATCTATCATCTATCATCTATCATCTATCTATCATCTATCATCTATCATCTATCATCTATCAATCATCTATCATCTATCATCTATCTATCTATCTATCTATCTACCTATCTATCTATCTATCTATCTATCTATCTATCTATCTATCTATCATGGTGGCACAGTGGTTAGAGTGCAGTATTGCAGCCTAATTCTGCCCACTGCCCTCAGTTCAATCCTGACCAGCTCAAGGTTGACTCAGCCTTCCATCCTTTCAAGGTGGGTATAATGAGGACCCAGATTGTTGGGGGCAAGAAGCTGACTCTGTAAAACCGCTTAGAGAGGGCTGTAAAAGCACTGTGAAGCGGTCTATGAGTCTAAGGCTATTGCTATCTAGAAGACCAAATTGACTCAGGTTAGCCCAGCTTTTATCCTATGTCAATCATCAGCCTCCATTCCAGTCTTCATTCCCTCAAGAGGAGACAAAGGAGAGGAAGAGAGAAGAGAGAAGCAATCTTTTGGGCTCAGGGATGTTGGCTTGCCTGGTTCCTCCACCAACATTGGACTATAATTGGATTCCGTCCTATGGTTGGCCTTCCAAGACAGCTCTTCACTGAAATATTTGCACCTTAAACATATATATATAGGCGTCAGTCGGTAGCATACGCGAAGTTGCAGTTCAGAAGATTCTGTTGCTCAAGCTTATACGCCAGAGTCTAGTCAGCTGAAGGTCAATGCTAAAATTGGCACCAAATAAGGGTCAATGGAATTCAAGAGGGATCGGATTGTTTATGGCAATGTCATGACTCTAAGCTGATGACTTGTTTAACTCCACCCCTTGCTCTCTGCTTGCTCTCCTCCTGCATTAGACCTCCATAATATAATCAGAGAGCTCCATAATGTAAATGTTGAACACCTAAAACTTCTAAATAGGCTTTTGGAAGTTTTCCAGGTCTTGGGCACAGTGCCAATTATGCCCAGCGGGTAATAATAATCCAGCTCTCTCTCTTCTACGTGGGAAGATTTTTTTCTCTCCCTCTCTTCGTTTAGCTAAAAAGAAAAAGTGAAGCCTATCAAATGAACTTCTGGAGACTTCAAGAACCGATCAAGTTTTCTTGGCCACACAACGGAGAGGGGTTGATCATTCTGCGATGTGGAGAGACAAAGTAAAAACTGTGTAACAAGCCTAAATTGAGTTAAGCATGTTTTAGCAGTTAACTTTTATCATTGTAGTTTACTTTAGACCGTGTGACCCAAAGTGTCGTGTGTTCATCTAATTGTAGGGTCTTTTATAGCTGCGCCAATGTTCTGTTGATGACTCTGGTTTTTGTTTATTTGTTTGTTTGTTTGTTTGTTTTTGGTCTTTGAATCAGACTCATTTCCTGCCAACTACAAGGTCAGGTCCATGCAATTCTCTAGTAACTTTCCTACGAAGAGTTTTGCCCTTCCCTACTTATTCCTAGAGTAGAGAGAAAGACTCACACATTTGGCTATGTTACTCAAGGCTGTACAACTCTACAACTCAGGTCTTCTGCTGCTGCTGGTCCAGGGGTTTCGGCCACCAGGCTAAACTGGTGATCTTCATGATTCCTGGAGGACATATGTATTTGGGGAAGGTTCTCTCTCTGGGCACAATGAGAATATATCTGCTGGGAAAAAAAACTCCGCACCGGCAACAGGAAAGGCATCCGGCCAGTAAACACTCAGCTCCATTCGGTTGCCCAGACTCCACCCCACAAGAGATTATTGGGTCATTAAAAGATAATGTTATGTATTTGGGGAAGGGACATGGTGGCTCAGTGGCTAAGACGCTGAACTTGTCGATCGAAAGGTCGGCAGTTCAGTGGTTCGAATCCTTAGTGCTGCTTAATGGGGTGAACTCCCGTGACTTGTCCCAGCTTCTGCCAACCTAGCAGTTTGAAAGCAGGTAAAAAATGCAAGTAGAAAAATAGGGACCACCTTTGGTGGGAAGGTAACAGTGTTCCATGCGTCTTTGGCATTGAACTGTCGTACGTCGGGGAATACCTGCATTAAAGCTTTCGTACCCTGTTTCCCCCCCCAAAATAAGACATCCCCTGATAATAAGCCCCTGGCATTAAGGCCAAGCATTAAGGCCAAGCAATTATTTCAGGGTTCAAAAAAATATAAGACAGGGTCTTATTTTTGGGGAAACACGGTAGATAGATAGATAGATAGATAGATAGATAGATAGATAGATAGATAGATAGAAGATAGATGAGAGAGAGAGATAGATAACTGATAGATAGATTAGATAGATATATACCCTGTTTCCTCCAAAAATAAGACATCCCCTGATAATAAGCCCAATCAGGCTTTTGAGCACATGGCAATAAGGCCAAGCGCTTATTTCAGGGTTCAAAAAAAATATAAGACAGGGTCTTATTTTGGGGGGAAACACGGTATTTCTTTTGTAGCGCCTTCCGTTTCCTGTATTTTCCCATTTTTATCAGTGCATCCCGTCCTTTAGGCAGTCCCACACGCATGCACACACACACCAATCCAGGCCAAGCGGAGAATCGGCTAGCTGGGGGAAAATTCTTGGCCGAAGACAGCCAGGAACCCTGGGGATTCACCCCAGACGTGACTGTCCGATTTCTGAATGAAACCGGTCAGCCGGTCCAAGCCAAGCGTTCAGCGAAGTCGTGCTGATAATAATTCCACTCTGCAGCTATTATCCAAAGCAGGGACGCCTTCGGCAGCCCCAAATTGCTGGCTGGGAGTTGCCTCCAGGAACAGCAAGCGAAAGTTCAGCGCTGGGGAAGGGAAGGGCGTTTGCGAAACCCAATCTGGATTCGGAACGGATCCCCGGGGACCCTCCAAAACTGGATGGGGTATTCCAAGCGTGCTTTGGCGTTAAGACCTCGCCCCCCCCCTTTGGAATACCGCATCCAGTTTTGGTCGCCACCATGTTAAAAAAAAAAGAAAGAAGTCGAGACTCTAGAACAATGATGGCTAACTTTTCTCTCTTGGTGTGCCAAAAGGCGTGTGCTGGCACCCATAATGCAATGGACGCCCACCCCACCCCTTTGCATGTGTGCACGCTCCTCCTCCTCTTCTTCCTCCTCCTCCTCACAGGAATCCCCATTCCCTTCTAACACTGATGATGTTCCCTAGTTGGGTAATGAAATGTCTGTGAGAAAACAACCAAGCTCAGAGAGCACCAAGGACCTCACAATCCTCCTCCTCCTCCTCCTCCTTTTCCTCCTCACAGGAATCCCCACTCCCTTCTAACACTGATGATGTTATCTAGTTGGGTAATGAAATGTCCTCAAGAAAACAGCCAAACTCAAAGAGCACCCAGGACCTCACAGTCTTCCTCCTCCTCCTCCTCCTCCTCCTCCTCTTCCTCCTTCTCCTCCCAGAAATCC